TCACGGCAAACAAAATCACTCTCAGCTATACTAAAATCATTTGCACAATGAACCATATCACTCGCAACACAATCAGAATTATCAGACATACCACAATTGGAATTATCGCACACACGGTTACTCCTTCCTGATTTTGATTCGATTTAGAATCAAAAACACCTTCTGAGGAAACAGAAGTATTTGGCCCTGAAATGGGCAGTTTTTTTCTTGATTTTGTGCAGAAGATATAATAATCGAAGCAAAATAAAAAAAAAAGAGAACTGTATCAGCGATCACACGCTACCACAGCAGTCAAAGAGCAGAGTAAACAAGGATTTTTAACCTCCTAGAGAGTAAATAATAGTAAATACGAGGCGCCTTCAGGAAAATGACGACATGCGCAGATGTTCAGGGAGGAACCAGGAGGAAACTAGCGTCTGAGGGGCTAGACGCTTGTGACACGAACCAACTAGCAATTAAGAAACTACTCCACCAAAAGACTTTTCAACGTCGATATGGTTGCCACACAACACGCAATCGCGCCAAAAACCAGCGCAAAACACATATCGTCACATTTGGTGAAATTAGGGCGTTTATCAGAGTTGTACCTTTTAATTGAATAAATTTTTCATTTACTGTTGAGAAACATTTTCCTATTCTTTACCTAAAAATTAAAAACTGGGAGCAGAACTGTCAGTTAGGATATACTGTATTTACTGAAAAATAAAACCTTTTTTTTAATACAAAATTTTTACTCTAAAATGTGATAGGTTCTCATAATCAGTTAATCAAGTAGATGAAATTGCAGAATGTCAGGAAGGATTTTATTTATCATACTTTATAGAATAAATACATGATTTAATTACCAAATAAACAACATAGGTAATTACCATTACATATACTAAATAACTACTGCTAATTATAACAGCCTCATCTAGCTGAGTGATTTCAATTTAGGACTGAATCTATTATACTTGTTATTAAAGTACAGTACTGCATTAATTACTGCACTGTAATTTTAAAGAATATATTCACAATCATTTTCTGTGTAAAATTCCTACATCTAGTGCTGTTGCAAATGCGAATGAAAATTCTTGGTAATTTTGTGCCCAACTTTACTCACGGCTTCTGTAAAACTAGTGGTCAATTTGGATGTTGCAGCAAAATATTCTAAAGTAACCATGGCATGTAACAATTCTTGGTAGGTAGGTGAAATGATAATTTCCTCCTTAATTTCACATCAGATTCAACTGGAGCACTCACAGCATCATAGTCATCTACACTAACAAACTCTTAAAAACTTATTCATTTAGTATATACAGTACAAAGTCTGTAATCCGGACTCGTCGGGACTTTGGCGATTCCGGATAATAGATGGCATGCAGAAATTATACAATTAAAAATATGAAACCGTAATTCATGAAATAAAGAGCAATTATGATCGAAAGGGTATCAAATTTTACAAAAAAAAAAAAAAAAAAAAAAAAAAAAAAAAAAAAAAAGAGCTTAATATTTATTTGTTTACTTTATTAAACATTTCTTTCAACGCGCGCATGCGTAAAGCATACATTACGCGCATTCTTTACGCACATACGTAAAGCATACAACTTCTTTACGCACATACTAAAGCATACATTACGCGCATTCTTTACGCACATACGTAAAGTTTGTGGCTTTGAGGTCCGGATTATAGACGTCTGGATTAAGGACTTTGTACTGCATATCATACTTAGTTTTAGAAAGAAGAGAAGATATTAACTCACCCTGAAAACATTGGAAGAAAGAGAGAGTAAGTAATTTTAACTAATTACGAATTATTCAAGATTTAACATTAATTGTATTAGCTGATTTTTAAAGAATAAAAAAGTACATCTGAATATGAAATTGCATTTGTTGCTTATTGATGAAACAATGGCCGCAATTGCCTATAGTTTAAAAAATACAGTGTATTCAGTGAGGTTTTCAATTAAACAGGAAGAAACATTCCTGAATGTACTTTAACAGAGAAACAACAGGGAAAATATATGAAAAACTTAGAACATTTAAAAAAAAGTTAATGACGCTAAAACCTAAACACTAGTTTGTAATTTGTGCTAACTGATAAAACTTCTTATGAGATTATGCAAATTGCTGCCAGAACCGAAATTTTGTTCATGTTAACTGAGTGTTTGTCTTAAGTGAGTTCATGAAGGGGGATTATTGTATATCCTAGACAGTACAGAGGTCTTTGACTTTAACTACTTCTCTATTTATGAAAATATATATATAATGAAAACTTATGGGCTGGGAAAATAAATTTGATTTCACAGTAATCGTATAATATACTAGTGTTTCTTTAAATTTATTGTCTTTTAATAATAAACATGGTTTCAATTCTGCATTTTACATCTTCTTTTACTTTTTATTATTTTCATACTATGTAACATCATTTTTTAAAATTAGTTACATATTATCATTAGAAGTTTTTAGGCTACCTGAATATGGCAAAGCACATAAAGGCAAGTTTTAAGAAATAATATCCTTTTGTGAATTACATTAGGTATACCTCCCGTTGCTACTACTGCATCATTCTGGGTGCAAATAATAGTTCTTTTAAACATATCTTCTAAAAGCAACTTTTTCTTAATAGAAAATCCAAAACATTTAAATTTCTAAGAGGTGGCGAACAATATCTCACTAATAGTAGTACAGAAGACAGCTATAAATTAATAAAATTACATTTAATATAAAGTAAGAAAAATCACCCCTTCTCCCAAGAAACTTAATTATTAGAACTCTTCTTTATTTGTTTTCTTTTGAAAATGTGTAATTTTTGTTTTGTTCTTTTGATATTTAAAGTAGCTTTTAATTTTTTTAAAGGACCAACCTGTACTTTTTTTTTCCCTTTACCTTATTGTTTAAAAAAGGTGTAGCACCTCACTTGTGAATTCAGCCTTATTTGCTCATACTACACATAGATATCATTAAAACATACACTATTAACGTGGAACATAATCAAGATTTAAAATTCCAAACATGGCATCCACATAACACTGAATTTTCTCACCATTATAAAGTACAAAATGCATAAATAAAAATAAATTATAAACTGAAAATCATCAGCATAAAATTCATGAAAGAGTGGTGATAAAAATCTAAGATGAAATTTATTTTATGATTTTATTCCATTTCAAATAGTTTAATTAAAAAAATTTGCTACGTAAGTTTCCCAAAAGTACCAAAAATTTAGAGGAATTAAATAACATATCATACATAAGAGGGAAAAAAAATCACAGGATGTTTTATTAACACTGCAAGAAATATATCATTTATGAAAAATAATTTACAGCCTATAATTTTACATGTGTATTATATATAGGTAAATTACCATATGAAATTAAAGACAACATTTAATTTTTTACTTTTTAAAAATAATTATAATAAATTTTTTTTTTATTTCATTACAACAATACACAGTAAGGCCCATAATAGTTAATACTCATAATAGCTATACATACAGCAAGCATCAATTATAAATTATTGTACTTTAGAATAATCTACACCAGAGTTTCTTAAACGGTGGGTTGCTACTCCAAGTCGCCAAAAATTTTAGCAATTTTGATATTTCTTTAATCTATTATATTAAATTTACAATTAAATATTTTTACATAATGCATCTAAAAATAAATAAAGGTAAGATAAGACAGGCAAAGAAAAAATGAAAGTGTTTTGATGAATTCTTTTATAATAGAAACATTAATTTTACTTTGAAGTTTAAGAAACCCTGAGCTATACTAATACTGTTAATGTATTTTATGTATCACACCAATATGCCACTTTTACAATTCTCTGAACAGTTTTGCAGTGGGTTTATTCCAAATATGGCATCTGCTTAGAATTTAATGTATGTGTGTGCGTGGGGGGGGGATAATGAATAAGACAAACAACAATCAAAATCATTAAAATGTTATGGAATATAAAATGTTGCCAAAGCACAATATGCAAAATAATATTCTATAATATTTTATCAAAATTGCACTCAAGTAGTCACACTATTTAGGATGTATAAGAGTTTTATGAAATAAAACATAGGCTATGAAGCATCAGAAACACAATGTGAAAAAAATTAGAGGACAAAAATATTTAATTTAAATGCATTATAATGCTGCAATTTATTAAAATTATTTCTGCTTTGTTTGCAATTACATGTAACATATGATATGATACTGTTGATAAAGGTATATTTGGGTTTTCATCCGCAGTAAATCCGAGCCGTAATTGTGATTTTTAGTGCATGTAAATTCAAGTTAGCAGATAAAACAATATATTAAGAATATTGTAGTAAAAATTCACAGATAATAAGCATGTAGATGTAAAACTAACCGGTTAAACGTGATATACGAAAATTGTATTAAATTCAAGTTAGCACAGAAAAGAATATATTAAGCATAAGAGTATTATAACGGAAATAAAAATTCATTAAAAATATAATTAGTAATAATATACTGCAATTAACCGGTTAAAACGAAAAAAATTTGTCTTAAATTCCACTTAAGACAGAAAAAATATTCCTTACTCCAGCAGTGGTTTGCTAATTTTTGATGACCATGGTGATGCATCAACTATTCTGTCATCCTAGATAATCAATAATATTTTTTTATTTCAATTTAATCATCTATTTATGTCACACCTGCCATCCTCTGAAAGGTTAAAAGCATTAACAATATATTATCTTGTTTAAATTTTACGCCATAAAAATTGATTTATTCTCAGAATTTTAGATGACAATAACCAATAATAAAAATAAAAGCATTACTTAATTATTTAAAATGCACATTTTTGCAGTCTACGATAACAAATTACTTTAGACGTTGGAAACCTCATGGTTCTTAGAGCTGTTTCATAATTAAGAACACAACGTGAACAGCCGTGTTACAAATTAGCATCATCCCCGAACCGAGATATATAGAAAATATTTCTATTTATTCGTTGTTAAAAAATTCAGAAAAATAATAAAATAAGAGAAGAAATAATATAAATCTGCAAATGTGAACAAAGACAGTGATAATTCAACAAAATAAACGCAAAAGGAGTGGTTGCATACTTCGAACAAGGGAATAGGATATATCCGATGGGTTACCAGGTTTGAACTATTATCGCCAAAGTTGGGGATGTTTACATTTACCGGGTTCTCTGCGGAAGTGCTTCCGTATATTTTAACATAATTTAACCATTCCTATTTAATTTCAAATCTTGAATTATATCACATTATTTACATACATAATATTAATAGGGTTTTCATCCGCAGAGAACCCGTTGGCGCCGTTGCATTTTTACTCGCCAAGCTCGCGGTTCATCGACGATTTCCTATTAATATTACTTCTATTATTAAACAATTATTATGAAATTAAAGGCTATCAGAATTAAATTCTCATATAACAAAATATATACAAACATAAAAGACTTCCATAGAGATCCATTCATTACAAATTGCATCTAAAATAAATGTGCTTTAATGAGCTAGTGAAATTCTACAATATGAGAGATAAGCTTCTGATATAAATGTAAAAATGAGTAGCTTAATGCTTCAAAATAAAATGAAAATTATTCAGAATCATCACTATCTACCAATACTTGAAGTCGCTTTCGTTTTGGTTTGAAATTTGTTGCATTCTCACCATCTTGTAAATCATTTATTATTGGATTCTCTAACTCAGTTATATTAACTGCAGATGCACTAATAGGCTTGGTTGCAGTAAATTTATCATCTGATTCATCACTATCTTCAATTCTTGGTCTTTTTCTTTTAGAAAGCACCACCTCATCATCCTCCGATTCATAAACATTATCATTATTTTCTAAATTAACAGATGCAGCAGGCTCTTCAATAAATGATTGATTAATGACAGCATTCATCCGTGTTTTGTCAGAATCGGATTTTAAAACATGGGCCAAAGATGAAATAAAACCATTTTCTTGAATTAAATCCAGTTTTATGTTATTGCTATCTGAATTCTCTTCTTTTTCAAGATTAATTTCATTAGATTGTAAAGTTTTCTGTATCTCGGAAGATGAACTTGAAATAATAAGACTTAATGGCAGACTTTCATCTTCTGATGACTCCGAGGACACGCTTTTCAAACTCTGGGGTTTCGCACCCTTTTTTTCATTTACTTTACTTTTTGCAGCTGATCTGTAGTCCTTTTTCTTCTCCTTACTAGAAGACTCTTTAGATTCCCGTTGCTTTCTGACCTCTTTTTTATCTTTTATCAATTGCATTTCTAGTAGCTTTTCTATAATGCTTGATCTAGATCTTTTTACTGTTAAATTGTTCAAGATTTCTCCTATCATATCTTTCGAATTTTGCTTTTCCTGGAATAAATGATGCAAGAGTACAATATCTTGTTCATCCCATGCTTTAATTACAGCTTTTTTTCTAGGTTTCTGCTTAGATAAACTATGTGCTTTACTTAATGGCAAACTTTCATCATCAGATGAATCTGACACCATTTGCTGCTTTCGAACCTTTTTAATTTGTGAAACTTCATCTGCGTTCTGCAATTCAGATAAAAAATTAGAAGCCGAATGCTCATCATTGCAATTTTCGATCTGTGAAGTTGAAGTAACAGATTTTTTACTTTTACTATTGCCTTCCAGTTTTGTTTTTCTTTTTTTTCTAACTTCCTTTTTATCTTTTATTAGTCCTATTTCTATTAGTTTTTCTATAACACTTAGTTTTGGTCGTTTCACAGTCATGGCATTTAAAATATTGCCCATAATATCTTCAGAACCTGTATTTTCTTGAAACAGTTTATGCAGTTCAATTATTTCTTTTTCATCCCATACTTTAGATGGCCTTTTATTTTTGTTCTTTTTATCAGCATTTAGCTGAACAGAACTTTTTTGTTTTTTCATTCGCAAATCAGAATTTTTACGAGGAGGAACACTATCATCTTCATCAGAAGAAGAATCTGACATTATTCGTTGTTTTGTTTTCCAAGTTCTAATTGGTAAAAGTTCATCAGTATCCTCAACAGCATTTGAATCAGTACTACAATGCTCATTTTCAACTCCTAAATTCTCAAAGGATATCATATCTTGATTCTGATCATTGGTGTCTAACTTCTTTTTTTCAATTTTCTTCTTACCTTTTATTAATCCTAATTCAGTTAACTTTTTTACAACACTTTGTTTAGATCGTTTCGATATCATAGCACTTAAAATATTATCAACAGTATATTCAGTATCTGCATTCTCTTCATATAATCTATGCAGTTCAATTATTTCTTGTTCATCCCATACTTCTAGTACATTGTTATCATCATTTTCTCTACGTTCTGCCCTCAACATGTTGAAGAAATTCAATTCACTCTCACCATCATCTGATTCAGAATCAATATTAGCTTTATTTCTCTGTTTCTTATTTCTTTCATTATCAACTTCTGGTTCATCATCATTTATAAAAGAATCATCATTACCCTCTTCACCTGAATTTGAGTCAGAATCACTTTGTCTTCCATTCCTGTGCTTTTTAGATCTTTTTTTCAAAACTTCTTTACGATCTTGAATTAGATTTAACTCTAGCAACTTTTCAACAACAGCTTTTCGTGACCGTTTTATGGAAAGGTTATTTAAAAGTTTGCCCATTACATCATTTGAACCCTTGTGATCTTCAAACAGGTGCTGGAGTTCTATTATTTCAGCTTCTTGCCATTCTTTTCTGAGATGAGGTTTCAAATCTTTAGCACTTTGTATAAGACCTAACCTCTTCAGTTGCAAAATAATTTGAATTTTGGTTCTTTTTTTACCCATAGATGCAAGAATAATATCTGCAACATCTTGACCTTCAATATGAATATTCTTGTTTTCTTCATAGAGATACCTTAATTCTTCCTCTTCATCTTCTGTCCAAGCTGATTTTGAAGCAAAACTACTTCCTGTACCATATCCTTCTTCTAATTCATATGCTTCTCTGGGACCTTTCCAGAACAACATTTCTACAAAAATCTTATTATTTTTTGCAGCTACTTCAAAAAATTTTCTCACAATATATTTAGCAAAACGATAAAATTCTTTAATAATGGGATCTTGATTAGAATCTGGATCATTGAATATCTTCTGAAAAGTCACGAATACTGTAGCTTGAAAAAAAACAGCATGCATTTTACAGTTCCAAGCAATACGATGAAGAAGTTTAATAAGACATATATTGGTCTGAGTGGTGTTTTTTTGGTAATTGGCTAACAATAAACAACAAGCTTGCACAATTTTTGGTGAGGTATATTTTTTATAAACATCATTCAAGTCTAATGGTTGTTCTGCTATTCTTTGAGTAGATTCTTCTTCTGCCTCTTCTTCATCTCTGTCTGACTCTTCAGGTTGCTCACCATTTTTTTCACTCCCATTCCTTTCAAGATTTGATAAAAATATTTCTCTTAGCACAAGAAACTCATCTTCTGAATCAATTTCTGGTGCACCAAAACAGTTTCCTTCAGGCCAAAGTTCTCTAGCAGCTCTTAGTAAACCCACAGCATTTTCAACTTCTTTTGAAACAAGAGCATCTCGAATTTTATAAACGGCTTCTTCTTTTTGTTCTTCAAAAGTTGTTTCCGATGCTCCATCAAAAGGAGTTATATCTGTGGGAATTTTTCGTCTACCTTGAACAGCTGCCGACAGATCACTGGCAACACTATCCCACTCTTTATGTAAATGTTCTTCTGTATTTTTTGATTCTAATGGGGCATTAGTCTTAGTTTTTTTCCTCCTTTTTACCTTTCGTTTTTTCTTTTGAACAATTATTGCTGAATGCCTTTTTGAATGATTTTCTAGCATTTTTAAAAAAAGATGTGCACTTTCAACTAGTTCTGACAAATATGATAAAGGAAATTTAACTTCATCATAATGAGAGAGTAGTGACAGAAGCATTTCTCGATATTCAATAACATAAAATACTCTACTGATTATAATATCAGCATTATGCTTAATAGCTGCATCATGGGATCTTTCCATCATTCGGAGTGTTTCGAGTAATTCCTTATATGCACTTACTCCTAGCTGCATTCGTTTAGACCATATATTAGTCTTTTTTTTATCTGATAACATCATCTCTTGATAATTAGTAATCTGAGTTTGAATATGATGAAATATTTGCATTGAGATGGTTTCACTAACAAAAGCTGGCTGAAAATCATAACGGCGATTAAATTCCATAAAATAACGTATTGCCCATAAATAGAAAGAATCATCATTTTCATCTGCATTTTGACGAAATAACCTGCGCTTTACAGCTTCCATTAATTTATTATAAGTCTTTAAAAATTCAATGCAAAAGTTCTTGAGGAGTAATCTAATTCGTAATGTGGAACGTCTCGTTTCAGTGAAATCTTTAGCAGGCAGTCTATTCTTTGGTTTTCTTTTGGCATTTTTCTGAATATCAAACTTCACATCATTTACATTATTTATTAATTTATGTGATATGTAATCATTTTCACTCAAGGATTTCATATGTTTCACATGATAAACACCAGAAAATCTTGAAACACACAATGCTTGTATTTTTTTTAACTTGATATTTTGCTCCCTTTGACGAGCGGCAAGCAAGGTCTTCAGATCCTTTTCTTTCTCTTCTGCTGAACGCTGTTCATTAGCAGTAGCAAGGACTTCAGCTGTATGTTCACGAAACATCAAAGAAATAATTTCTAATACATGTAAACAGTATTCATATTCATCTTCATTTGCAGCTAAATATAAAAGAAAAAAATTAATTTTTGACTCATGCAAATTGTCTAAAATTTTGTCATGCAAATTGATATCATCATCTGTTCGAATTAATGATTTTTCATCTGGTGGAATATGAAGAATATTACGAATAACGATTAAAATCCTTTCTATAGTTAAATTTTCTTCCTCATTACGTTCAATTGGCCTTTGTTTTAAAAGCTCTTTTAAATTCTCTGACAGAGCTTCCCAGACTTTTACATCTAGAAAAGCTCTTTTATACTCCTGAAGATAAGAAATTAATTGTAAATATACGTTCCATGTAAGTTTATCTTCAGGAAGTTCATCTTGAAACAACAAAATTGCCGGACTAGTAAGAGTCACTAGGAGTCTGAGAGTAAAATTAAAAATTTCACTATTATGATTATAACGCTTTATTAGTGGCAAAAGATCGGTTTGCAATAAATGAAGAGATCCAAGATATCGTAAAATGGAAAAATTATCATCATCCTTTCGAAGATATCGCAACAAATCTTTTAAACACTCTACGGTGTCTGAACCTTTCTCATAAGCACCATTAATTTCAACTCCCAATGCATTGCACGTTGCAAGAATATCAGCTTCAGCAAGATCTTCAAGTGTCATATTTCCTAATAATGAGGTACATGAATTTAATAACAAATAATACTTCACCAAATTTTGCAAACACAAATTCCCGCTAAACTTGTAATTACGTAAACCGCGCTAAATTTATTTTATTGCCAGATTTATTGAACAATTGACTCCATATTTTTAGTTGCAAATTAAATAATTATAAAATTAAACTTGCGTATAGATTTTCATATTTGAAAGAAGTGTTATAAAACTCCTCATTTTTAATTTAGTTATTTAAGTTTTAAATGATAAAATTGTAATGTATACTTAATGCCTTCCGCAGAAGAAAATGGCGATCTATAAAGTTGGCAACAAGATTCGACTTGTTTGTTGTGAGTTTTGGAGTGGTTAAATGTCACAATTTTAGAATTTGATTCTGGAATGTAAAATCTTGGAAGTTAATATCAGTTTTTGAATTTGCATAAATGTACTGTTTTGTATTCACCGAGTAGGAATTGTTTACATTTTGTATTTCACTTTGATACTCTTTGATTAGAGATAGAATTCAGGTATCGTTGCGCACTCCAATGGCGCGAAAAAGAGGCAGATTGAGTGAGGAAGATTGTGGAGAACAGCAGAATATTGAAGTTGATGCAGATGATATATTTCCAGCTGGAGATCTTCACGAACCTAATGAAGTTTTAGATTTTCATGTTGAGGAAACAGGATTTAGAGGAATTAGAAATAAACGTAGACGTGTAGCTGGAAGAGGTCGTGGTGGGCCTCGCGGTAGAGGAGGTAGAGGTGGTCGACGGGCTGTACAAGACTCTCCTACGGACGATCCGAATAGTTTATTTGAAGTTGTAAAGCAAGGCAGAAGTGCATTGCAATGTGTAGTTGACGACTGGATAGAAGCTTACAAACAAGATCGTGATATCGCGTTATTGGATCTTATGCAATTTTTTATACAATGCGCTGGGTGCAAAGGACGTATTACACCCCAAATGCAAGCTACTATGGAACATGCTCAGATTATTCGTAAAATGACTGAAGAATTTGAAGAAGAAAGTGGAGATTATCCACTTATTATGAGTGGGCCTCAGTGGAAAAAATTCCGAACGAATTTTTGCGAATTTGTTCAAGTTATGGTTCGTCAATGTCAGTATAGTATCATATATGATCAATATCTGATGGATAATGTTATATCTTTACTGACTGGTCTTTCAGACTCTCAGGTTCGAGCCTTTCGGCATACAGCAACATTAGCTGCAATGAAATTGATGACTGCTCTTGTTGATGTAGCATTAAATCTGAGCATAAATCTGGATAACACTCAACGGCAGTATGAAGCTGAGAGACAGAAAAATCGTGATAAGAGAGCCACTGAAAGACTTGAAATGCTTTTGAGTAAACGGCAAGAATTAGAAGAGAACATGGAAGAGATAAAGAATATGTTGACATATATGTTTAAAAGTGTTTTTGTACATAGGTACAGAGATACTCTTCCAGAAATACGTTCTATCTGCATGTACGAAATCGGGCAATGGATGAAGAAATTTCACCAGCATTTTCTTGATGACAGTTACTTGAAATACATAGGTTGGACTTTGCATGACAAAGTGGGTGATACTCGTTTGAAGTGCTTGCAAGCTTTATTACCTCTTTATGGAGCTGAAGAACTTACCAGTAAAATGGAATTATTTACAAACAAATTTAAAGACAGGATAGTTGCTATGACTCTAGATAAGGAGTACGATGTTGCTGTTCATGCTGTTAAACTTGTAATTAGTATCCATAAATATCATCGTGAAATTCTAACAGATAAAGACTGTGAACATGTGTATGAACTTGTATATTCTTCGCACAGAGCAGTTGCTCAAGCAGCTGGTGAGTTTTTGAATGAACGACTGTTTCAACCTGATGAGGAAGCTGTTCAAGGATTAAGAACAAAAAGGGGAAAGAAACGTTCTATAAATACACCTCTGATAAGGGATTTGGTTCAGTTTTTTATTGAAAGTGAACTACATGAACATGGTGCTTATCCTTGTTGATAGTTTAATTGAAAGCAATCCTATGATGAAAGATTGGGAGTGCATGACAGATTTACTTTTAGAAGAACCAGGACCTCAAGAGGAACCATTGGATGACCGTCAGGAGACCTCATTAATTGAAATAATGGTATGCTGTGTTAAACAAGCTGCAACAGGTGAACCTCCTGTAGGAAGAGGCCCTAATAGGAAGCAGCCTTCTGTAAAAGAGCTGAAGCAAGTATCAGATGATCGCATAAAATTGACTGAACATTTTATAATGACATTACCTTCTTTACTTGCCAAATATCTTGCTGATGCTGAAAAAATAGCTAATTTAATGCTCATTCCCCAGTATTTTGAATTGGAAATTTACACGACGAGTCGCCAAGAAAAGAATTTGGATAGTTTGCTAAAACTGATACACGAGATAGTTGAACGACACAATGACACCGATGTTTTAGAAGCCTGTGCAAAGACATATGAAGTTCTATGTAATGAAGAACTTGCTATCCATTCTAGGTATGAATAACTATTGCTTTTATAATCTTATTTTAAAAATTTCAAAGTGATATACAGTACAAAGTCTGAGATCCAGAATTGTCAGGAATTCGGTGATTCCAGATTTTGGAATTTTATTGATTTTAAATCATCATTTTAAATGGGCTAATCTTTGGAATATGGTAACAGGTAGTTTGGCGACATTTTGGTAGGCGATAAAGGTTACTACCTAGGACTTTGGGAATAATGTGAGAAGTACTCAGTTCCGATTACGCATTTTTTTGTGTGAGGGAAATGAGAGATCATGAGATATGTCGTGACATTAATGGGTGAATTACAGTTCTTTAATCCGAAAAGGGGGGAATCTGGAAATTTTGTATTTAGCTTTATTCTGTGTTGTGCGAAACAGTGTTAGTTAATTTTTTTATCCCATGGCCCTATCTAAAGTGAATTCGAAATGGGTATTTAGTGGGATTGAAAGGGGTAGTAATAAGTGTTTTTTTAAGATTGTGCGAGATAGAAGTAAATATTGCTTATTAAGTTAATTTATTTTACCTGCTACCTTGCTGTGAACTATAAGTATGATTTGAAAGATCCTGAAACAGGCGCACATACGATTGCTTTTTATTTAGCGGAGGAAATAAGAAAAGGGTTGATCTTTGGATTATGGTAACTTGGCGATTTTTTGGCGAAAATTTGGCAACCAACTCTGCTACAGCAACCCTCTATTTTTTTTCCCCGCCGCCATTTTGTCTTCACGAAGTAAAGACATGTTTATTTTCTTCTTATCTACTGAACACTTCTTCCAACAATCTACTAGCCGAATTACACTTATGCTAGAAATTTTATCAAACAAAACTGCTTAATCATGACAAATATTCACTACAAAATTGGGAAAAAGTGCACAATACCATACTCCTTACGCGTTTTTCAAAATAACACATACACGTAAACCATGTACACGCCAACTTATTTTTACTTAAAAAAACATCCCAGAATTGCACAAAAAAATGGCATTGTGCACACTCTTCACTATATCCATGTACACTGCTTTTTTCTCATAAATTAGAAAAATTTCATGAAAATACATGACAATTTTCTCAATCTTTAAACCCGGTAAAAAGAACATATCTGAAATTACCTGATCGCGAAAAAGTATTTACCCTTTACAAATATGAACATTTCCACATATAAAATAAATAAAATATCCAAAAACTTTTACCTCTAAATCATCTATTACATTATACACGTCACCAACGAATTCATACCGCAAGCATTACAAATACTTAGTATCAAATATTTTTAAATTATTTTCCATGCACGTTTATTTCAACTTAAACGTATACCAAATTCCTACAAACATAAAATTCACAAAATAACTATCATTTAATTAAAATATCACTAAACCATGTACACGTCGACTTATTTTTACTTAAAAAAACAAATCCCAGAATTGCACAAAAAATGGCATTGCGCACACTCTTCACTATATCCATGTACACTGCTTTTTTCTCATAAATTAGAAAAATTTCACGAAAATACATGACAATTTTCTCAATCTTTAAACCCGGTAAAAAGAACATATATGAAATTACATGATCGTGAAAAAGTATTTACCCTTTACAAATATGAACATTTCCACATATAAAATAAATGAAATATCCAAAAACTTTTACCTCTAAATCATCTATTACATTATACACGTCACCAACGAATTCATACCGCAAGCGTTACAAATACTTAGTATCAAATATTTAAATTATTTCCATGCACGTTTATTTCAACTTAAAACGTATACCAAATTCCTACAAACATAAAATTCACAAAATAAACTATCATTTCATTAAAAAAGAATTAAATTCAAAAACACTACTTAAAATATAAATGAGCACATACATTAAATTAATAAAAATTACCTTACAATCCTAATTACTTTAAACTAAATCATTGCTAATAACAATTTTCCCAATAATACCAAATTCCTTTCCACCTTACATTTAGAACAATGCTTAAAAATAATATCCTCAAATAATTAAAAATACTAACTTACCTAATCTTCTTCAGAATCTTTCAGTACGTGGCGGATACACTTTTCTAATTCATTCAATAAAATTATTGAAAGATTTTTTCTTCGAATTTTTCCTCCATACTTCCTCCGCTAAATAAAAAGCAAACTTCTCTTTATCACAATGCCTAAATACCCATTTCGAATTCACTTTAGTTAGGGCCATGGGATCCAAAAATTAAACAACACTGTTTCACACAACACAGAATAAAGCTAAATACAAAATTTCCACATTTTTTCCCGATTAACCCCCCTTTTGCGATTAAAGAACTGTAATTCGTCCATTAATATCACATGACATATCCCATGATCTCTCATTTCCCTCACGCAAAATAATACGTAATCGGAACTGAGTACTGCTCACATTATTACCAAAGTCCCAGGTAGTAACCTTTATCGCCTCCAAAATGTCACCAAACTACCAGTTACCATATTGTAAACATCAACCCCTCTAAATTATCTATTATATTACAAACGTCACCAATGAATTCATACCGCAAACATTACAAATGGTTACAAATACTTAGTGTCAAATATTTAAATTATTTCCATGCACATTTACTTCCACTCTAATGTATACAAAATTCCTACAAACATATAATTCACAAAATAACTATCATTTAATTAAAATATAATTAAATTCAAAAACACTACTTAAAATATAAATAAGCACATACATTAATTAATAAAAATTAGCTTACAATCCTAATTACTACTTTAAACTAAATCATTGCTAATAACAATTTTTTCCATAATACCAATTACTTTATTTACTCCTTACATTTAGAACAATACTTAAAAAAATAATATCCTCAAATAATTAAAAATACTAACTTACCTAATCTTCTTCAGAATCTTTGCTTACGTGGTGGATACACTTTTATAATTGGATTCAATAAAATTATTGAAAGATTTTTTCGGGGGCGAATTTTTCCTCTACACTTCCTCCGCTAAATAAAAAGCAAAATTCTCTTTATCACAATGCCTACGGAATGGCGCTTTTTATAGCACTACCACGTGCCCTCTAGAGTAACTGGTATGTGCACCTGTTTCAGGATCTTTAAAATAATATTTATGGATCACAGCAAGATGTTTAAAACCTTCATCCTCCAAACATTCATACGATTTCCAGCAATCAGAAATGATTATTGTACCCGGTAGAATATATTCTTTAATAAAACTTAATAAACAATCTTTACTTCTATCTCGCACAACTTTAAAAAAACACTTATTACTACCCCTTTCAATCTCACCAAACACCCATTTTCCTTCCACTCTCCTACCTCTCTGATACTTCCGCTTCCCAAACTTACTTTCATCAATTTCCACAATAACATTCATACGACCAAGCATACCCATATCATTTTCGCAAAATTCCATGCACACTTCCCTACAAAAAGAATTCCAATCCTCTGCAGTACTACTGCTAATTTCTAAATCCGAAATCCAGTAGTCAACTGGCAATCTATTCACCCAATAATAAGAAATCAATAAAATTTCACCCATACTCAAACGACTTTCAGCAAACCACATACCCTTCCTTACACTCCGTTTCACAAAATGTCCATTTTCACCAGATTTCTTGCACCGCCATTCAAACTTATCAGTAATATCCTTCCTTTCACACAATCTCATTTCATTCCCACATTTTGGACATTCATACTTATGTGCAATTAAACCTACACTCATACACCACTCAACCAAGTCTTTTGAATTATCAGATAAACGCATTAAAAATCTAGAATTCACTTTAGACAGAGCCATTCAATCCGAAAATTAATCAGCACTACTTCACACAGCACACAATGAAGCTTAATACAAAATAATATACTGCCACAGATATTTTTCCAAATTTCCCCCCTTTTCCGATTAAAGAACTGTAATTCGTCCATTAATATCACATGACATATCTCATGATCTCTCATTTCCCTCACACAAAATAATGCGTAATCGGAACTGACTACTTCTCACATTATTACCAAAGTGCTAGGTAGTAACCTTTAACGCCTCCAAAATGTCGCCAAACTACCAGTTACCATATTCCAAAGATCAGCCAAGAAAAGTTTATCCGCTACGTAATCAAGATTCTGAAGAAGATTAGGTAAGTTAGTATTTTTAATTATTTGAGGATATTATTTTTATCCATTGTTCTAAATGTAAGGAGTAAATAAAGTAATATGGTATTATTGGAAAATTGTTATTAGCAATGATTTAGTTTAAAGTAATTAGGATTGTAAGCTAATTTTTTATTAATTTAATGTATGTGCTTATTTATATTTTAAGTAGTGTTTTTGAATTTAATTATATTTTAATTAAATGAGTTTATTTTGTGAATTATATGTTTGTAGGAATTTTGTATACGTTTCAGTGGAAGTAAACGTGCATGGCAATAATTTAAGTATTTGACACTAAGTATTTGCAACCATTTTTAATGTTTGCGTTATGAATTTGTTGGTGACATTTATAATAGATAATTTAGATTTAAAAGTTTTTGGATATTTTATTTATTTTATACGTGCAAATGTTCATCCTTGGAAAGGGTATATACTTTTCGCAATCAGGTAATTTCATATATGTCCTTCCTTTTTACAGGATTTAAAGATTCACAAAATTTTCATGCATTTTCGTGAAATTTTTCTAATTTATGAGAAAAAAGCAGTGTACATGGATATAGTGAAGAGTGTGCACAATGCCATTTTTGTGCAATTCTGGGATGTTTTTTTAAGTAAAAGTTAGTCGACGTGTACATGGATACCGCATATGTGCAATTCTTAAAAACGCGCCAAGCAGTGGGCGATTCTTCACTTTCACGAAAGTTTACAATTGTGCGCCCCTTGGTTTTCTGCCATTCTTTTCATGCTAGATCGCCCAGCATACACAATTTCCATGGCCACTTACAAACAAATAGCAGTCAAAAATTGTCAATTGTTTCCATGTACCATCGGCATCTGATGAG